CCAACATTCTAGACTTTCAAATAATCACTCCATGGGTTGCCCCCCCTCCCCCCGCATTCCAGCCAAATCCGGTGCGTCACACTCCCCTCAGGATCACCCTGACCAGCAATCTTGGGGAGCAACACACCTCAAAAGACTAGGAAGCCCCTGCTGAGGCTTTAGCTCATGCTGCCAGCGAGAACAAGTCTCAGCCCCACATCTATGGCAATGCACACAGCACCAGGAAGTGCTGGCCCCAACCAGATGTTGTCCAGGCAGTTAACACTGCTATTCCCTTTCAATCTTACTTCGCATTCTAGAGACACAAACAGCTTCCTGTCCAACAAGGACAAACTAACATGCAAAGGAAAAAGTCCCAAAAGTAGTTCATTCCCTGCCCTGCAGGGATGATTTACAATAGCAGATCCTTGTGCTGGCAGAGAAGGTGCAAGTCCTTTTTTCAGAGCTTGCTTCCGTTTCATCACCCCTGGGATTATTTAGTGATGGTCTGAACTAATGGCTTACCATAATCTGTTTCCCCATTTAATTTTGCATTTCCTTTTTCAACCCCAGTCTGTTATAGCTTGGGCTGTCTACTATACATAAATGTCTTGTATCTTTGTCCAGTCTATAGGTTTACTCAAAAACACCTGACCTTAAGCCAGCCACCTGGCCTGTATAAACAACCAACTTTCATTTTTCAGACACAACTACTTCCATCAGCCGATTTAAACTTGCCTGAGTTAAACTCCAAGCCTCAACCATTTCGCTCGACTGGTTTGTAAAGTTTTCTCTGCGTCTTCTCCGAGTTCTCAGATTTGCTTGATTAACTAACATAAATGGTCCTTACAGCCGCAAATGTCATTAGAATAGACATTAAGCATCAAATCTTCATCATCTTTCAACTGCATTAAAAAAAAAACATATATCTTCATTCTGAGTATTTTTCAGAATTTTTTTCAGCTCTCTATACATTTTATCTAATTTCTCTACAGTGTCAGAAAGCCTTTGTCTTTTTCTAATCTTCTAGCTGTTGTCTGAGTTTCTCTTGGAAGTCCTTGAGACCCCCGTATGAGATTATCAGTACCCCTTTTCTTTCTTCTTCTTCTGCTAGGTTTCCCTTTTAAAATTTCCAAACGCGTATGTCAATCAAACATTTCTTATTTAGGACAAACAAAACATTTTTAATTTCTTTTTTAGGGAACCATCAGCCAGGTTGGTCAGCGAGCAGCTGACTCCACTGTTCCAAATACATGCAAGTTTTTGAACCATTGGTGTTTCCAATTCTGACAGGTTTAGATTTCATTTATTTATTAAAAATATATGCCATCCCATAGGCTAGAGGGTTCTCTGGGCAGGTTACACATTTAAAAATGATGCTGATTGCAATAATATTATTTAAATTTTCCAATAGACAATTAAAACCACCATATTGTGCTTTACCCATGTTGCCACTTCTAACAGGCCTTTTACACAGGATATGCTTATTAAGGTAGTCCAGTTTTGAGTAGGACCTGGGTTGTAAAATCCTTCAAGGGCACACATTTGCTTACCTTCCAGTTCTGGCTCAGGGGTGGTGGGATGCAGGTGGGATGCAAGATCCCATGCATAAGCTGATCACTTGCTCTGTCCTACTTGGACCTGGGCCAGGACCTTATAGCTCTAGGCTTTACTCACAGTCATTCTTGACCCTGATCAAGTGCCTTCTTCAGCTGGACTCAGCCTTGCTTGAATTTAGGCAATGACCTTATGCCTAATGAAGCTGTGCAAACACACCAGGAAACACGGGTTCCCATTTCAGGAGCCAGAATTGCATGTACCCTTGCTTCCAGCTTGACTGGGGTATCAGCCAACAGGCCTAGAAAGACAGAAGGTGCTGCTGCAGGGTCAAGTTCATTTGTCTGAGGAAGCCACAACTTCTCTCTTTAATGTGAATCACCACCACTCACACAGATTGGAAACACCTTTTAACACCAGTTAACAGCATTGTTAACACATTGAAACATGCAACAAGCCAGCCGGGATGCCAAGTTTGTTGAGGACAAACAAAAAGTTTGTATTGTTCATTGTCTGACCACGAGACTGGCAATGCTAGCAAGTAATGTCATTTATTGTAGGTGCACACTAACAATGTTTGCTTGTTTGTTTGTTCATTAGATTTTTAACCTGTCCCATTAGCCACATGGCTCCCTGTGTGGGTTATAACAACAGAGACTGAATAAAAAGAGTGAACCCATCTCCAGTCAGCACCAGCTGCTGCAGTCATCATACACAGTGAATTTATACATTTAGCTTTTTGCAATGATTAGTAATAGAAAATGTCATAGCAGAAAATATAGAGTTACTTTTGTATATGATTATCTTGACCTACACTTCTTTTTAAGACATCTGGTGTCAAAACATCTGTCTCCAGGCTTATCTTTACAAAACCTTACCTTCCTGACAGAGGTTTATTTTATATTTTCAATCCTCTTGTCTCTAGAACCCTAAAATATTTAACCCTAGTTGTTCAGCCATCACAAAAAGTTATTCTCTTCATTATGAACTGCCCAGATAACTTCAGCTGTTGGGCAGCATATAAATGAAATACATGATGATCAGTCAGGCGTCTTGACCATGGAAGGACTTCATCACGTGCCGCACCTCTTCCAGTCCCCACCAAGAGTCTCCATATAAACCCTTGCAGAGTACTCTTCTAGACATACCAATGTTCATCTCAGTGGGGATGATGAGTACCATGAAAGAAGTGTGCAACATGCCCACACACTCTTGGAGCAATGGCCCATCCATGCACTAGCTGAGTCCCTTTCTGTGTGTGCAAGAGAGAGAGAGAGAGAGAGAGAGAGAGAGACTGCATGGATAATATTAAAGGGAGGGACTTTGGACAAAGGGTTTTGCCCTTCTGATGTCATCAGGTCTGCTGAACTGGCCTGAGAGGGCAATTCAATCCCTAGATCAAAGAAAACTAGCATCTTCTGGAGTATAGAATTGTAATCTTAGTGTAGGTTCAGGATACCAGTCAATGTTTCATCTTAACATTCCAAGCTCAGCCACCACATTTAAGTTCAGGAGAGTCAGGACTAATAATACTTCATTATCCCAGCCCTTTGCCTCAAGAAAGGTGTGGGAGGTGAGCTAGTGTTCAGGTTTCAGATGCAGTGATGAGAATTGAAGGAGGTCTAAAGTGCAGCCTCTCTAGCATTCTCCTTTACTAATCTGTGAAAATTCAGAGGGCTCCACACACACGCACATGGTTTAATAATGAAACATGCCCTGGCATACATGTTCACTAGTTAACGAAACCTCTACTGCCCTAATCTTAGGTCATAAGTATTACTGTCACACCTGCCTTCAAGATACATGAAAGAAAACACAGGGACCAATGGGGGATAAATGTTTCTTTTTCAGAGTGAAGCTGCAAAAGGGGTGGGAAAACCATACAGCAAATGCTTGGGACAGACACTGAGAGGCACAGGGAATATTTATTGCCAAGCTGACTGCCAACACATTGTGAACGTGACAGTTCTTTAGGGAAAAATGTAGAAGAAGCTTCTTAGTATGAGTTACTCTAACAGAATGGGCATGGCTGTTTACCAAAAGAGTGAAAGATCAGCATTCTCTCTGGGATTCCTGTTCTCAGAGAAGCTGAGAGCTCTACTTGTAGTTATTTATTACGTTTCTATACTACCCAATAGCTAAAGATATCTTAAGCAGTTAAGCCACTAATGAACAAGGCTACTACTTATGACAGTTACTTTCTACATTAATACAACTGACATCACTAAGAATGGCTGTTAGAAGAGGTCTGTACAGTAATGCATCTCTTAGTCGCATGGATGCATGCATGGCCATCTGTGGGAAATGTATGACTTTTTCTGCAGCAGATTATGGCACAAGTGTGGGAAACAGAAGTGCGACTCACTCTTGCTTCTTCCCCTTTCTGCATGTGTGCAAATACGTTCTATGGCAGGACATCATGACTTGGCAGTGCCAGAAATCATCGCAGCTTTCAAGTCCATATATCTAAGCAGGATCTATCTTACATTACAAAACAAGAAAAGGCTTTAAAGTCTCCCTCTCTGTCTGTCCGTGTGTGTGTGTATTTCACTTGATGCTGGTTAATTAGAAGAGTTCTTTATGTTACAAGAGAGCCTGATTTCATACCATAAGGCAGGCAATGTGAACACATTTCATTATATATATATATATATTTCCTGTTTTTCAGTCATAAAAGCTGAATGGTAAATATTCAGAAATAGATTTCTGTTGTTGCTTAAACATGTCCATGAATTCATGCTCAGAAATCTTAAGCTTCATAAAAGAGCAACTAAAATGATCAATGGGCTGGAGCAATTCCCTCAAGAGCAAAGGCAAGGGACTCTAGTTTAGAAACAAGGTAAGTGAGAGGCATTTTTCTCCCTCTCTCGTTCCATTACACTTTGGAATCATCCCATGAAGCTTTTTGGTGGGAGCTTCAGGACAAATAAAAGGAGCACTTCTTCACACAGTGCATAGTTAAACAATGAAATTCACTTCTGCAAGATTAACTATCACCACCAATTTGGATAGCTTTAAAACAGGACAGGATGAATGCCTGAAGGAGAAGGTGATCAATAGTAGTTGATGGCTTCTTGACCTGATGGCTCTGGGCTACCTCCAGTATCAGAGGCAAAATGCCCATGGGCACCAGCTGCTGGGGAAAGAGGTGCCGCTGTGGTCCCATCCTGCTTGTGGGATCCTGAAACAGTGGGGACAGAATGCTGGACTAGATGGTTCTTGGCCTGATTCAGCATCCATCTTCTTATGTTTCAAACCTAAGAGTTTTCTGTGTTCTGCCCTCCCTTCCCATTTCTGCTGGGTACTTAATAATATGCATGGATGGTACAGAAGAGAACCTAGTCTACTGAGAGAATCTTTACAAAAAATGAGGTGTACTCTGAAGGTACTTCAGGAAGCATCACAGGTGTTAAACTACATTTGGTTTGATTATTAATGCTCTGCCATTCCTTTCTTATGTGCAGGACCAGCTCCTCTCCTATACTTACCACAAAGCCCAGCAGTCGCACCTGCAGTTCCAGCTGCTGAAGGCAAGTTACATTTTCCTTCTTCAAGAATTATGCTGAAGCCTGACCCAAGGGGGAATCCTCAATTAAAGATGTTAATTGAGTTCAAGCTAGGTACACAGAAAGTTGGTCATGATTGATACTGTGGTACAAGACCAGTACACTTCCCATCAACTCTTTCCTGTAGACATTTCAGGTGAATAGCCTTGATAGGAGCCTTTTATTCAGAAAAACCATTGCCAGGTGAGGTGATGGTTTCTGATTCCCCTTTCCTCTTCATGCCCTTGTTCCCCACTGAAATTTGTTCCAGACCCTACATGGAAGCATAGGAGAAGATGCCAGGGAAAGGGGGATCTTCAAACTGCGTCCCCCTGCCGCTCATTGAGAGTAGTTTCCACCTCCACAGATTGAAGTATGGCAATGGACACAACCCAGTAACACCCCCCTAGCATCCACTACACCAGTGGCTTCTTCATCTTAACTGCAGAAGTAAATGACACTTCTGAATTTATGTTCGATATAATGGAAATATCTGGGCTTGTATCCAGTGGTGTCTCTCAGTGCTGAACAACTCTTGTGCTAATAATTTGCCATGCTCTTTATCCTACCTTCAGTGGGTGGCTGATTTATCTATTTATCTTCGGTTTTCCATATAACTACCAGCTTATTCCTCCACCGTTCAGGTGCAATCCTATACTCCATGAGAGGGTCCCCCCTGGATGGCAGTCGAGCTTCCCTCTTCTTTGTTTAAACCATCTACACAGATGACACAGGGAAAGAAGAGTCTTTGAGAACAAGTCAGGAGGAGTGTCTCAGGGTCCAATCCCCTTCATTCTCAGAGAGAAATGTAGTGGATTTCTCTCATGCTGGGTGTTAGTAACACCCTTTCTTTCCCTCGGAAGGGAAAATGCACCAGGCAGCAGAGAGTTCTTTTTTGAAACTTTATTGCAGTAAAGGGAGTCAGAGGGTTTCCTTCCCCTTTCCAACTTCCAGAGCACATGTTCACATCCCATATTTATGCCCTTTCCTGATTGTTTTCCCTCCTCTCCCTCATTGGCCGAGGTACTGGGTGGTTAAAATCCTTCAGTCCGCCTATTCTGTGTCGCTCCAATACCTGTTCTTCCTTACCATTTTGTCCCTCCCATGTGCATTATAGCGAGATTATTTTCTAGGCAGGGTGTGTTAGTTAATAGTCATGAGGTCATTGAGCAAGGGTACTGCTATCTTGTCTACTTGCCAGTTCCCTCCTGCTATCTGATCCTAGCCCCGTCCCCCTATGGCTAAGGAATTTTCTTTGCTACATTTTCACTCTTCCTGTTTCCTTGTTACAAATCATCCTTTTCACTGGGGAGGAAAACTAAATCTAAAAACCAAAAAGAGAGGGGAAATGAGGGGAAAAAACTCATCTCACCTCCCCTTCATCACATGCCCACCCCCAAAATTTCTCTGTCAAGCTCTTCCTCCAGACTAACATATGGGGCTCTTTCATTGCTTCCGGATGCAATGCATCTTCTGAAGTTTTTATCATCCTCACAGTTCTTCCAGCTTGTCAACCATCTTCTTCTTGAACTGTGTTGCTGAGAACAAAACACAATACTCCATCTGTTACCTCCATCTCTCTTTACTTCAGCCTACTCCCTGTCTACAGTTTCCTTTTCCTGCAATTGTTTAGTTTTTATGTAATATCTGTGAAACCACTCAATTCTGGATCATGTTCTGAGACATCATCTTGCAGCCTACGTGGCGTTCCTAAACCCACAGTATAAAATGTTTAAGAATAAAAGTGTTTGGGAGACATAATGTATGCAAAGGGCAGGATAAAAATGTAATACTTAAAGAAACAAACAAAAAACAACAAAAAGTAGTGACGTCTTGTTACAGCACACCCTGGCAACGTGTCCTCAGGAACATAGCTTGCATTAATGCAAAACTGTCTCAAATAGGTGGATGTGTAACATTTGGTAAATAAAAAAGGGAAGAACAGGATAATAGAGTGCATGGTAACAGAAAAATTACAAAAGTTACTTGATGTAGTGCCTGGGCCTGTCTCTTGCTCGTTGGAAATTTTTCGGATAGATTGTGATGAGGACGGGGGTTAGAGGACACTGAACTTTCAAGGTGAAATTTTACAGGCAGAGCATGAGATCTGGCCTTCTTTGAAAGGGACAGAAGAGCTTTCAGGAGGGGAGCAGATGTGAGACTCAGCCCTTGACCAGGTATGGAGGTGATGAGAGAAATTAACTTCTCAGTTGGAAGGTCTTTGCTGTACCTGCCCTTTTGCCCTCAAGAATCAAGAGCCAACCTGAGGATGGAGTCAGAAGCTGTACTCAAAGGGACGGATGGAGGGGAAGTATCCAGTTTGGATCCAGCCATTTACATGGGCAGCTGCTTCTCCCTCACCGTTGGTGGAAGGTTATTTAGAATCCATACAGTTCTATAATCTGGTTAAGTTTCAGTAAAATAACTCCACTTCAAAGGATTGTCTTGAGCTTGGTTACCAGAGTGAAAGAGGGAAGGGAGCAGCTTTTGATAGCCAGTCTTCCTTCTGCAGCACGTTCCAGCTCCTGTGCCTTCCCCATTCCTTGTTGGATGTGGTTCCTGCTGTGCCTTGCTGAGTTGCGCCTTGTCTTGCCTTACTTTGTCTCATCTTTCTATGTTGCCCTGTTTGCGCCATCTTCACTGCTTCTGAATCCAGTTTGTTATCCTGCCTCAGGCACTTCCTCATCTTGTCTTCCTGGTTGTCTGTCAGAGACTTGTTCACAACTATGCCCTTGCCCTGTTCTGATATGCATCCCTGGTTTCTGACTTCGGACTGTTCCGTACCGCAACCCTGCCTCTGACTTTACCACTGGACTTTGGACTGCTTTTGGACTCTGTCTTGAGGTCTGTTGACTGAGTCCTGCCACCCACACCCCAAACTCTGACAGCAGCAAGGGCCTGTCTCAAAGTGCATGTGGCTTAACACATGTGGCAAGGCATGCGCTGGATCTAGTGGTATGTCATGGAATAAGTAAAATGGTCTGCGGTTGGCTGCCAGTGATGGCAGTGATGGCTCCGTGACAGGGATGTGGAAGAAATCTGGAATGGACTGAAATAAGTTAACGTTCCTAAGATTTTGCAGCAGACCACACTTGAGTCACACAAACTCTATGGATCCCACAGACCAAGTACTTTTTTAACCTTCCATTATTTTGTATAGATTTAGTTGCAGAAAAATACTAAATAAATACATAAATACCATCAACAAAAATGTACATTTCCCCTATAGGCTAAATTGTGAAAAAATTGCATTTTGGAGCTGCATATTTGGGAGGCACTGGCACATTTTGGGGAATGTGAATTTGCTCAAATGCAAACACATTTGCACAAAATGCAATTATGCCAGTTTGTAAATGTTGAAACAAAAGATACCTAACAATCCATGGAACTGAGACAGACAAATTTTACAATCTCCATTAGTCCTTACTCCATTGTCATGGCCAGATAATTGTCTGTTCAAGCTGGGCCTTCAGGCTGCCTGTAACCCCCTCAAAGGGAGTTTGCATGGATTAACTGCGCAGATAGAATCATAGAATAGTAGAGTTGGAAGGGGCCATGAAGGCCATCAAGTCCAACCCCCTGCAGAACACCATGCTACACCATCCCACTCAGATGGCTGTCCAATGGATGGATGAATCTAGCTGGAATCTAGATGTAGATGGTGACCTGTGTGGGAGGAAGCTCATGCTGTTTTAGCCACTCGTCTTGCTGATGCCTTGGCCACTGCTTGGAATGAGCAGTGACCGTGCCCATTCATTCAATTGCTGTATCATAGAGCCAGGTCACCTTCTTGGTGCCCTGAGCAGCTGGCAGCTATGAAATAATTGGGGCTCAAGTGGCAGAAACATGTGCATGGAACCACCCACCAGCCAGAACCCATTCTCATGCCTACTTTGTGGTGGGAAATTGCTACGAAGAAGTCTCTCTAGCACCATTGGTAAGGCTCTTTCAAGTGGTGAGGCACCTACTTAATATCCCTTTTATGGCTCAGAACAGAGAATACTCAAAAGCCCACTGTGAACAATTTGCTTTGTGTTTTGAATAAAAATTGCTAACATCTGCACCTATTTGGTGCAAACACTTTTTAACAAAGTCAAAGAGGAACTGGCTGGTCCTTTTGTAACAGACACTTTTCAGGTCAAACAGATGGAGAATGTGAACAACCTTCTGAGACAATAGTGGCCTACCATTCGCATTCTAGATCTTTGGCCATTTTGGCTCTTAAATTCTTCTAGAGCAGAGGTGGATGCTTGGATAATAAATACTTTGCTGGAAGGATTGATGCCTTCCATTCTTGAGAAGGCAATGATTAAGCCTTTCCTGCAAAAGGCAAATACAATCTGTAAGAACTGATACCCAGTATCATCCAGTTTTGAACAAGGTTCTAGATTGGGTGGCAGCCTCTTGTATATTCAAGATACCAAATATTTAGATAAATCCTTTTCAGTTTTGGAGACACAAACAGTTCAAATTACCTTGTAAAGGACTTGTACTATGGAATGGACAGGAGGTGTCCAATCTTGTTTGAATCTGCTATGGCTGAAATCCATCTTTAGATCAGTATGCTTGGCAGGCACTAGTGAAGGGTCTTTTCAGCTGTGGCCCCCTGCCCTATGGATTTCTCTCTCAAGAGAACCGGGTCTGTCTCTATCTGTTGTTGCTTTTAAGAGAGCTTTAAAAACACAATTGCTCTTTCTGGCTTTTAAATGAAAATGTTCTGTGGTATTTGCTTCTGTAGATATTTGAGATTATATTTTATTTTAACTGGCTTATTTTTATATTGTTTACCTTTAAAGGTGTTTTTATCATTTGTTTGATAGTAAATTTTACTCTTTTTATAAGCTATCTTGAGAAAACTATGATCTTGAAATGCAGCAAAGAAATATATAAATTAGATAAATGAAAATAAAAGTACATTTACCTAGCTACTGGGAAGGGCAGTGCTTGATAATATGACAGTATAAGTGCTGCATGGAACCTGCATT